GCTTTGAATTTTCTGGTTCAGTTGTCAGCCCTGCCACATTCCTGTTATGTGGCTTCTTGCAAGTTTCTTGGACTCTCTAAGCCTCAGCTCTTGTCAGCCATAAAACAGAGGCAGGGATACCTCGCCACTGTCACATGGCAGCTATTGTGAGAATGGCAGGAGTGAATGGGGGAGGAAGGACTTTGTAAAAAGCTATAAAATTGGAGATGTTACCATCACCTTTGTCAAGCAACAGTCTACCGAACAAAATTCCCAAAATTTAGTCCTTTCTCATTGACAGAACTTTATCTTAGCATTTTTTATTCTAAGAGAAATGCTTTGCTGGAATCAAAGAGCTAACTACATTTTTGCTTCATTATGTCTAGAAAATAACCACACTGTGACAAAAGTGATATTTCAATTGTAATCTGTTACAACTTTTTTTTCACTTTTTATAACAGTGAAAGACTAAATCAAAGGACCCAGTGTAATGTATACACCGTGGAATACTATTCAGCCATGAAAAAGGATGAAATCTGTCATTTGCAGCAGCATGGATAGAACTAGAGGTCATTATGTTAAATTAAATAAGCCAGGCTCAGAAAGACAAATATTGCATGTTCTCACTCATATGTGGGAGCTAAAAACATTGATCTCATGGAGGTAAAGAGTAGAATGATAGTTACCAGAGGCTGGGAAGGGTGTGTGTAGGAGGGGAAGGTGATTAAGAGAGGCTAGTTAATGAGTACACACATATAAGTAGATAGAAGTTCTAATGTTCAATAGCAGAGTAGGGTTACTGCTATTAACAACGATGTATTATATATTTCAAAATAGCTAAAAGAGAGGACTTGAAATGTTCCCAACATACAAAAATGATAATTACTCAAAGTGGTAGATATTCTAAATACTCTCATTTGATGCTTACACATTCTACACATGTAACAAAATAATACATATACAGTATAAATATGTACAAATACTATGTATCAATAAAATTTTTTTAACTAGCTATGTTCTTTGAAACGAATCTGTCACTTTTATCTCCATAATCTCAGTTTAAAATAACTAAGTGACATTGAATTATTCTTTGTACAGTTTTTAAATATCTTAAATAGTGTATAATAATTTTTTAAAAGACAAATTGCTAGGACAAATTGGGACTTGATCATCAACACTTCAAATGCACTTGTGGCCCCAGGTTTCTCCCGGGGCTACTAAAAATATATATTTTTAAATAATTAGAAGAAAAAAAACCAATTTGAAAAAAAATCCACCAAACGCAGCAGCACAAATCTGGCCCTCAGAAAGATAAAGATACTTTTTTATAAATTATAGGATGCATTGACTAGACTACAAAACTTTGTGAAGGTAACATAATTACAAGACAGCCTGTTTTGCCAAATTCACTGAAACTTTGCAGATTTGGAAAATGTCACTTATCCCTTCCCACAGCCCCAATACATTTGCATATGTGCAGACACACACACCTGGCAGGTTACTCAAAGGCCAGCTCAGACGTTACCCCCTAACTCAAGCCTAATGGTAAATTGCTCCCTGTTATGTTCTTCCTCTGAACCTAGTATTACTTCAGTGAATAACTGGAATTTGTTAAGACTGGGTCTTCATCATTTATACTCAACACTGAGAGCAGTTCCCTTCTTTCTTCTTTCCCTTTTTTCCCCATCCCTCTCTTCACTTCTCCCAGTTCATGGCAATTGCAGCCTTCTATTTGCACAGACCAAAAATCATGGAGTTACTTTTTTAAAATATATGGAGTTATCATTGACCCCTCTCTCAAACACATACCCCCTTCATCCAAGCAGCCAGGAAATCCTGTTGGTTCTCTACCTTCAAGGCTGAGTAACCAGAAACTGACCATCTCTCACCATTTCCACTGCCAATAGTCTGGTCCAAGCTAATCAACATCTCACTTGCCTGATGACTGTACTAATCTCCACGTGCCTCCCCGCTTCTAACCTTTCTCCTTGAAGTCTCTTTTCAACATACGTCAAGCAAAATCCTTTCAAAACTTAAGTCACTTGTGCTCAAAGCAGGTGGCTTCTTCTTTTACTCAGAGGAAAAAGGCAAAATAGGCTACAAAGCTCAATGTGATGCAGCTCCGGTCTCTCTGGCTCATCTCTCACAATCGGATCATCTTGGCCTACTTGCCTTCCTTCAGTTGAGCCAAAATGCTCTCTACTTAGGGTCTTTGCACTCGCTGTTTCCTCTGCCTGAAATGCTCTCCCCATATATCCATAACTAGTTCCCTTATCTCCTTCAAGTCTTTGCTCCAATGTCACCTTCTCAGTAGGGTCCATACTGATTATTATTCTATGTAACATATTGACTGCCACACAAGAAAAACAATATTTTTTATGAGGTCATGGTGTTTTATTACAAAAATAGATATTTTGTATGTTTTGTATGACATTTTGTATCATTTAGATAAAATAGAATAAAAACTTCAAAAACAAAATGATCCTTTCTAATTTAATGAAAAATTTGTTATTGGCTTCTAGTCATTTAATCCACTTTTTAAGAATTAAATTGTCAATATTAATTGTAACAATAAGAACATCAACAAGCAAGATTTTCATGAGCCAGCTGCAGGGTTTTCCCTAGGTTTTGTTTCACGAGGCCTTGGGCTCAAAACTAGCATGAGTTAAATACAACTCACATGGCAGTTAATGTGTTAAAACTGCTACCCACCCTCATTCTCCCAGCACACCCAATCCCCTTTATCCTGCTGTGCTTTTCCTCTTATCCTGCTCTGATCACCTAACATGCTACAATAGTATTCACCATGGTTACTATTACTTATCTGTCACACCCCCACCTCCAGCTAACATATAAGCACCAAGAAGAATCCTTTTGTTTTCCATTATGTGATTCCAGTGCCTGCAACATGGTGCTCAATATATATTTGTTGCATGAATTAACTTGTTCAAAAAAAATAGACCTTCTATTCTCAAGACAGAATGTTCTACAAAAAGATTTAGAAAGCTTGGGAAGATCCATGCTTTCTAGACCATTATTTTGGTAAATGGAGGACTCAAAGCTTATTGGGTTGTCTTTTACAATTTAATTGCAATTATATTTTTAATTAAGTTGTATTAGAAATATAATCAGAACAAACAGCATAAAATAAACACTTGGCAGGTTTGTGGAACTAGTCAAACCAGTTCATGGGTATAGTATTTGAATGGGACTTGGTTTAACAACTCAGAGAAATCAAAAATGGAGCAGCCAGTCTGTGACTGCAACCAATGCCAAGGAGGCAGGGAGAGACGTGGTCAGAAAGATGAACCTTCTGGAACTCACAGTCATGAAAATTCATTTAGATAGTGAGTTGCTCAAACACAAGACTCAAGATTTGGTTGGAAAGTTTGGGAAAAATAATCTCCTGCATGATTTTTTTAAAAGGAGTTATTGTATTTTCAGCTCAGAATATTTAAGGCCAAAATATCATGTAGATATTACTCATCGTTTCACTTTCTTGTGACTCTGTAATGTGCTACACTTGCTGTTTCTGCAAAATGTAGACAGGGCTCCATTACTCTTGCCCCATAGCAAAATATATGCCTCCATAGACTTTTCAAAGCCCATCCCTATGAGTCAAAAACTATCAGATAGAATTCTGCTTTCAAAGGTCTCTTAGCAACACATTCAGGGGCTGAAATAAAAGAGGGTTCTTCTCTATTTTTATTCCCTGAGCCTATTTCTTAGCATCTGAAGATCAATACAAAAAAAAAAAAAAGAACAAAAAAGAATGATGGCTGTTTCTTCTGTGGAAACTGTGGAACAATTCTCAGTCAATATTTGATTCTTTTATCTCTCAGAAGTTATCTCTAATAGTTGTCACCATCCTATGTTTGTTCAGTGAATTTTAAAGTAGAAATATCAGCCCCAGTCATCTATAAAATTGTACACAAAATCTAATTCTAATCACTTCACATTAACTTTCCCTGAAGTGCTTTATAAAAATAATCATTTCCTTGAAATTTAGTAAGTTGTATACATGCTAAAGTGTTTATGGAGAAGCATACTGATATCCTAATCTACTTAAAATGCATCAAAAAAACACAATGGATTAGTGGATGGATAGAGGAATGTATATACAATATAACAAGCACATCAAAACATTAATAACAGAATCTAGAAACTTGACTATACATCCATTCTCTGTGAATTCTTTTAATTTTGCTGTAGGTTTGAAATTTCTCATTAAAAATTTAAATAATTATTTAACTTATGTGTTAAAATTGTATATTGTAGTCAATGGAAAAGAAATGGTAATCAAATTAGATAAATCTTGGTAAGCTAAACAGAAGAAAACAGCTCCTACTTTTAACTTAAAATTGCCCATGTTGCCTCTTGAAATGCAGAGGAAGAGACATTTTTACCTGAGTTTTATATCTCTACTCAGCCAGTTTATTCATTAAAATTTACTGTTTTCTTCTTCCTTTGACCTTACCAATGTAACATTAATTTCCAACTTTAAAATCTCCCAAAGCTTTGTATCAATGAAATAATTCATGAAACATGCATGAGTCCCATTAACATAAGGTGGGTTCCCCTTTCCAAGCAGATGCTAAATTCTGGGTGCATCTCAAAATATTTCATATCTTTCTGCTCAATAAATGTTCAGAGAGTCACAGGTCCCTTTTTATCATAGTTTTCATTTTAGGTACTACTCTTTCTCTTATGCTACCAGATATTCTTTTGGGTTTTTTCTCTGTGTCTTTATCCCTGCCTTGATTTCTCTCCATCTCTTTGTTAGTCAAGATCTCCCTTTTAGTCTCTCTCCTCCTCATCTGTCTGTTTGTACTCCTACATGTCTCTGTTTCTCTCAGCCTGTGAATGAGAAGTAAGAGATGCACTTGCAAAAATAAATAGAAATAAACTAAAAAGTGGCCACCTACAAAAACTATTCCTAGGGAAAACAAAATAAATGATAATATGCATCAAAAAAAAGATGGATTAATGAATGGATAGAGGAAATAGAAATTTCCTCTTACCTGGCAAAACCTTTCAGGCTGGTCCTTTCAATTTCTCCTTCTTGTCTTCAACCCATAAGAAGCTGTGCGAGCCTCAGGAACACCCTCAAGTACTGGAAGTCTCAAGGACACAATGATACACGAGCTTTTCCAGTGTTTAATACTCTCCTAGGATCACGGAAGGGGGGCCACAGGGAGGAGTGAGGGCTCTGTTTACAGTGACAGACACACTGCCTCTGCTCTCCGTGCCTTACTGCCCTTAAATAAAAATGATTGTTCCCTCTGTAAACACTGGCCTTTGAAATGAATACAAGAACGTAACAGGGAGAGAATTCTAAAAAAAAAAAAAAATAGTAATAATAAAGTAATACAAATGAAACCAGCCTTTTTCAATTTCAATTAAAATTCCCAGGAATAAGATTTCATCATAATTTATCCCTATTTCAATGTTTTTAGTCTCCACCTAAAGTCTCTAGACTATAAATTCCTTGAGAGCAGGGCCTGGGTGTCATTCATCTTTGTGTCTCTCGTATCTCCTGGACATCCCATAGCAAACAGTTACACATACTGGGTCCCAACACATCATGTACAATGCATGGATGGATGGATGATGAAATAAATTCATGAATTGAGCAATGACAAACACTTCCTGTGTTAATAACCTTTACCTAGGCTGGGAAGTTCAAGTGTCTGCAATCATCATCTCGGATGCCCTAAACTAGCCCATGCCAATAAGATTAGAAATCAGGATGGACTCAAAAGAAATGTCTAAGTATTCATATATGTGTACACACGAGTTAAGGTAAGAGTTAAGCTGCTCTAGCAAGAGACTTGATAATAATATGGCTTAAAGAACAAAGAAAATTGTTTCTTTCTCACAAAGTTCAGTCCAGATGGGCATTCCAGGTCAGCAGGAGGCTTTGCTTCACACAATCCTCAGCGACTAATGCATACGTGCCATATTCAGCACGGGCATCTAAGGTTCCTGCACGTGTCAGCAGTGTAGCCAGTGGGAAGGATGGAAGGGCTTAGCCCAGAGACTTCCTTCTAAAGCAAGTAAGGCGGAAGTTGCTCACATTACTTCCACTCACATTCCATCAGTCAGAGCTTGCTCACATAGCCTCACCCAGCTGCAAATAGGGCTTGGCCCGGCTAGCTGAGCCCGTGCTCAGCTCAATACGATTACCATGGAAGAAGGGGAGAGGAAGAATTAAGGGGTGAGGAGGTCAGTTACCATCACCACCACATTTTGCATACACGTTTATAACCATTATCTCAAAATCTGAGGAACCATACTTGAAATGCAATTTTGTTTAGCTTCCGGCATAAGTATTCAAAGAAATGAGGTCAGATGAAGTTTCCTGAAGTAAACTGTCACTAGAAAGACAGTCTATCATTAATTGAGTTAAATTCATGCTTCTCTGTCTTTTCCCAGGATTACTAAGTGTGACAGAAATCCTAGAGAGCCTCCCACACAGAGGATAACTTCCAAAATGATAACTAGTTCATTCTGCACCAATTGCTCCTTAATTATCCATCAGGTGGGATAACAAGGAGGAAAGTTTTATTCTGCTTAGAAATAAAGTCACTTAGCATATAACTGAGAAGCAGTGAGTGTTTACTAATGCTCTGATTCCCTCAGGGAAATAAGCCATCATGCATAAAATTCTCCAGCAAAAACAGTTACACTCAGATGCTTAATTTGGATCCCCAGATGACCTTAGGCTCAAGGTCTTGAACTCTCTCTAACACCGACCCTGGTTAAGTAGTAAGGTCCCTATTTCTTCTGTTGCTTCGTGCATTTACTTTTCTCCATTCTCTCTCCTCCCCTTGACCTTCAAGCCACCTTCCTACTTCTTGTGTGCTGTTCTCTCACAGGGGAGAGGCTTACTGTTTTAGTTTGGGATCCCCCAAAAGCAGACCCTGAGATAAGAACTTGGGGGTAGATGATTTATTTGGAAAATGATCCAAGGAAGCAAGGGAGGAAATAGGGAAAGCAAGGCCTGAAGAAAGAAAAGCCAAAAAGTGCACCTTAATCAGTGCATTACCTCCGTAAGCAACTGGGGTTCGATCCCACTGGGGACCCTTTGGGAAACCCTAAGAACTGTCCCAGTGAGAGACAGTTGCCTTCCCTCAGTGGTTGAAGATGACCTCTGGGATGTCGTCAGCACTTCCAAGCTGCCCTGTGAGCAGGCTAAGTAAGCTCCCTTAGCAATGGAGAAAGCCCTCAGGCTGAGAAGCTAAAAGACTGGAGGCTGTGGTGGGAGGTTTAGCAAATGCTCAAGAACTGTCCCCACGCAGGTGAGCTCAGAGATACACTGCAGGGATGTAGAGCAACAGAGTCTGCTATACTTGCTAACTTCAAATCTCCTCCCCTTAAAATATTCCCTGCCCCTCCCACTGACCGTTTTCAACAGAAGTGGGACCAGATTCCTCAGACTATAGTCCACAACTTCTTCCTCTTTGCTCTTGCAAATGTTTATGCCAATTGGTCTCACCAAGGTGTACTGAGTTTGCTTCCTTCCTCGAGATTTCCCTCACTAGATTGTGAGCTGCTCAGGGATAGATATGATGTCTTCTTTACAATGATTGGCACATAATAGGATCTCAATAAATATTTTCAGAGTGAATAAATTAGTAAATAATCACCTCAATTATATATTTAAACTCCAAAAGACCCTCTCCAACTTCTTCTCGCAACTGACATGACATTTCCACCTTAAATCTCTTCTTGGTTTAAAGCCATGCTGTTATTTCAAGAGAGACCCTGTTCAAGTGCATATCTGATGATTGGAGGAGAAAAAATCTCCTCTGTGAAGCTGTAAAAAAATGCTTTTGTTAATTAACAAAAAGACATGATAAAACCTGTTCTCCAAAATCAATGATGATCAGAAACTTTACTGTTTGAAATCACAATTGGTGAAAATGAAACACCTCATCTTGCCTGGAGGATCTAAGTCATTTTAACAGCCTCAAGTTCCAACCCAGATGCAGAGCTTCAGATAAAGGTTTGCACATAACATTCCACATTTATCTTAACTTTATAATTTCTGATGAAACAGGACCTTGAGTTCTCATGTCAGCCAGGCTTGATTTCAGCCCTTTTATACATGGCCCTGCTTTGCTTTGAGCTAGCATACACTGCTTTGTTTAAATTTTTATCTAAACCTCACCCCTGTCCCAAATACTATAATAAGCCCGTGTCTTCCTTTGTCAGGTGATGCAGCCTGTGGTTCCTCTGGTGTGTGGTCCCCATGAGTCAGCAAATTAGCCTTGTTGAACGGCAAGTGTGTCCTTGGCAGTCTCCCTCAGATAGACCTTGTCATCTCTGGTCAATGTGTTCATAGCATAGATTAATGCATTCAGGTTGCTAGTCATTGCTATGAAAAACACGCAGAGATAGACTCTGAGAAAACTTGGCAGGTAAACTTCAATCAAGAGCTAAGTCAGAGTTTTTAAATGACCTAGGAGCTATAAGGCTATAGTAGACCTTTGAAAAGGGGAAGATTTATGTGGTAGACCTAAACCTAGAGTAGAAGGAGAGGAAGTAACCATGACCAAGTAAAACAGTCATTTCCTTTTTGCCTGCCTTGAATGGTGACCATTCTGTTTACAGGAAACTTCCACCTTTGGCTCCAGTGGGAGCTGCCAACCACAGAACTCAGTGTGCAGGCCACAGCTGGCCCAGAAATCAGCATGGCTGGCCAATCAGAGTCCTTCCTAGGCTTTTTCTTAACCTCTCTAGTTAGGAAGTGTTATAGATGTGTGCTGGAATTTCCTGTTCAGCTTTGTGGGGTAGCCAGCCTGACCCCAAAACATGGAGGAAAGCAGAGATGAAATCCTGAGGACACTCAAGTACCTGAATGCTGCCCTTTCCATAGGCTTTTATTTCAATTTTGATTTGTGTTGTTTTGTTTTTGTTTTTGCTGGGGTGTTGTTGTTTGTGATAGTCAATACATTACTTTATTTGCTTATACCAGCTCAATTTGAACCTATAATCTGGCTTCATTACTATGTCTTTTGCATCCACAGTTTAAGGCTTTCTCCAGGATCCCATATTATACTTTCTTACTTGAGTTTTATTCCATCCCTACAGATGCAAGTCTGAACTTCTTTTTGTCAGACAATGAATACCATATAATTTAACAGCTTTTCCTATTTTCTTTTGCTACCAGGAATCCTAGAGCCAAATACAACACCCAGCTGCAGTGAATGTTTATATATTCACAGAATTTAGCCCTGGAAGGGATTGTACAGATTATCTATTCAAACCTCTTAATTTTCAGAGAAAACTGATGTCCAAAATGGTGATACAATTTTCCTGAGGGATACATAAGCAATTAACAGTCATTTTCTTGGGTAACTGATCACAGCTACTCACTTTACTCTCTTTGTATTCTCTCTGCTCTTTTATCTATCTGAAAACTGTCTCCATTTTCATCTTCACTGACAGGAGGCAGAGGGCAGAGGATGAAGGAATGAACTTGGGAAAGGTAGGAGAGGGAAGGGGCAGAGATAATGGGATATGACCAAGAAATTAATACTATATAGACCCAACCAAAGCCTGAAAATTTACACAACAAGTTCACAGTGACTTCAGAAAGGGAAGAGATTATTGAGGAGCCAGGAAATTTTAAGGCTGGAAAGAGAAGACTTGGTGCTAAACTCAAGAACTCCCGAGACTTGGTTACAGTTACAGAGCTCTAAAACTTAAAGACCTATATTTCATACCTAATAGAATGAATCAGGCACTGCTAGTCACAAATTTGTAACTTCACGTATTCCATCAGAACTGGGTAGAAACTAGGCTGTGGCAGAATCCCTGATGTAAACCACCTCTCACGATTAATCATTCCATGGGCAAGAACTGGCAAGAAGGGAAATGATGCAATAAATGTAGTCTGTGATTTCGAATATCTCTGTGGGATCTTTGGGAAAGAAGATACTAGCAGCCAAGTGTCAACTTCATGAGCCAATAGCAGGTAGGCCCCACTGGGAGAGCATGTGCTTATTAGTGAATAAACTTCGGTTGATAACATTGGCCTGGTCATTCTCATCTGGAAGCTGAAAGAGATACTTAGGAACACACAATCTTGTTCTCCATCCTCAGCCCCTAAAAACATAGACACATAAAGTCCTTCCTCATCTGGAGTCAGAGGAGGAGGCTT